TGTTGATGTTGTTGATAATTAACAATAGAAAGATGAAGAAAAAAGCAAGATATAGTTACACTCAGAATTTTGAAAATACAACAGAGATATTGTATTGTTTCATTGTTTTTGAAGGTGCCTCGTACTTTGACTAAAGAGAGAGAAGCTAGTTGCAATCAAAGTAATCATTGAAAATTAGTGAAAATCTTCCAGACGAAAATGGTTTTTATTTAAAATCGTGTAGATAAATTTTATTGATTCACTGTTCAGTGTAGCCTAAATTATATATTTAAAATAAACATGGCAATATGCCCTATAAATTTAGAGTAATTGTAATGAATAGTAGACATGCAATATATAATCTATATCGATATTTTCCACTTCTTTTGTCATGTGTTCAAGCGAGCGCGTGATATATGAGAGAAAGAAAAAAATATGTAAATATCCTTTCTTGTATCGTTTTCTTTTCATTTCATTTTCATCTTTTGACAAACTCAATATACATACTGCTCATTTGAAGTGAACACTAGCAGTCTTAAACTACTTTCAGTTTTCTTGTCAAGAATGTAACAGCAATTTATTTATTTTTCTACCTTTTAAACACTGAGCTTTCCTATGAAAATTCATATGTAAAATCGGTGTGTTTATGATGTTCATGACCAAAAACTCTTAAACCGACTAAAAAATGTCAGAATCAAAGATGTGATAATGAAAACCAAGATAGATAATCAAAGACAATCAAAAACTCAAATTTTTTGACGGGTGGGTGTGAGTGTCGTTTTCGTAGTACTCACATCCTCATGTTAGCGGCTTCTGTAGAAGGTAACAGAAAAAAATCAGCTATAATAGTTTTTGTTTTATTTCATAAAAGTGCATAGTGTGTTTTGACTGTGCAAAGATGTGAGGAACAGTGAAAACACTTCAAGTTTAGTTTTGTTGTGGAAAAGCTGGTATATCTGAAATAAGAAATTATTCTGTTTCTCTCAACTCACACCAAATCTTCTTTGCTTGTTCATAAATCATTTGTTCCTGCCTTTCTTTTTCCAGTTGGTTTATTTGTGTAAAAGCATTACAAACTTCACTCCTGTACCAACGGCTGTCTGAGTCAATAATAATTTTATGTTGTTCATTATAGTTTTCTTTTATCCATTGCGGAAATCTGTTGGGGAGAAAGTACAATTCTTTAATAGCACAGACATTGAAAATCAAGAAGAGAGTGTTCAGACGCACTGGATATTTAGAAATTACAGGTAGAATCTGATTGTAAGTTTGTGATGTTTCTTTCAATTGCTCATCACTCTTTTGAGGAACAAATTTCCATCGAAGTGTGTGAAAACCTATTTGTGGAATGAGATAATATGTGAACTCTTCCCACCATATGAAGCCCCTAAAATACCATTCTAAGTGTCTTTCAAACATATGTATATCGTCATTTAATGCACGAATATTTGGTGTTTTTGGTGTAATATAGTACAAGAGCGAATTAAATCTTGAGTTAATATCGAAGAATATGTTATATAAATCGTACAATGACAGATACTTCAGAATCATCAGTTGAATTTCATTTGGTAGCTGTTGGAGTGTTGTTACAGAATCACTTTTTCTTGCTTCTTCCAATACTATGCTCATTTTTCAAATGATTTTCACTTGTAGTTCTAGTAGGATTTATGATAGTTTTAAGAGAAGAATGTTTCACTTATATACATCTCTGTTATCAAAGTTGGAGAACTCCAACAAGCACATGTCGAGACGCTACTCGGTTTTTTCCTTTATCTTTGATAAGCACAATTTTGACAGAAAGAGAAAAAAAGATGACTCCTATCTATCTCGAAGATGTATGAAAACTACCGCAATCTGAATTTCGTCGTATGAATATCACCTTGGAGTCATACATATACCCCTTATGAAATATATGAAAAGTATCGAAGAGAACTACTTCACTTACATTTCTGCGGCATTGCAATATAATAACAAAACAAATATACATTTTCATCGTTCTTCAAAAACAACAATAAAATGTTGTATTCGCTTCTAATTAGCCTTTTTATCATGGAATAGATATTAGTCAATTAAAAAGTTGAAATAGTGCAAGTTTGTACTTCATTAATAATTAGAAGAAACTAAATTTATACTCTTATTATTATCATCATCAATTATCAAATATCGATGCTTCACAAAACAAATATAGAATGAACTGCTCCAGTTTCTTTTGAATTTAATAATTCAACAAATATTCCCAAAAAAAGAATACAATGATCATTTTACAATTACAACACTAAAACAAAATTAAAAAAAACATTTTCTAATGAATAGCGATAGGTATCTGATATTATTCAAGTTTCTGGCATAACTTGATTGATTACCATTCTTCTTCCTCGAAATCGATTGACATATATCTCAAATGATACATATATTAGTTGTCGACGAAATCGATTAGATACACATACATATATGTAGAATGGACTCTAAAAATAGACAAAAAATTTTTCTCGTCCGATATATTTAATTTAAACACACTCACTGCAAAATATATATAAATAAGATATGTGGTCACAAGACTCGCAAACTGTATTTGTGCTGATAGGACAGGATCTTGAGTGAATTGCGCTGTTGTTGATACAATGTAGATAACAGTATATGGCATATTAGTAAAAAAAGCAAAAACAATGAGAACTAAAATCATCACTGTCAACTGTTTATCTAATTCACGACGAACGAGAGGTACAGTGCGATAGCCTAACTGTTGCACATTATTATAAGCCAAAAGTCCAAACACAAATGTAATACAGATAGGAAGAATTTTTTGAAAAGCAAGAAAATTACCATAGGTTGTATATTGTACAAAAATATTATTTGTAATTATGCACGTAACTTGACCTGTTGTTGTCGATATAACCTGATCATAATAAATTATATAAGGAATACCCTGAATAATCCAAATGAGAACAAATACTAATACCAAACGACGAGCTACTTTTATATTACACCATTGTCGCCATTGTACACGAGAAGAAGTGGCTAAATATTGATCAATGATTGCCAAACAAACACAAGTCATTGATGTTGATGCACATACATTAAAACAGTAAGATCGAAATTTGCAATAAAATAAAGATGTTAATGTCCAATCAATACCAAAACCGCTACTCATAATACGAGAAAGTAAACCTGTAAGCAATTGGCCTACATTGACAATAGACATAACAGTTAAGTAAAATGCAGCAGAACTTTCTCGAAAAGTTCTTAGACTAAGAAAAACAACAATGTTTAGTAATCCACCAATGACACCAGCAATAAGAGTAAACGAACCCAGATAAATAGTTATTTGTTTACTAACTGAAGCAAGTAATGAAATAATTGATGATGGCATTTTTTATTCGCTTTTACTTTTCTCGATGTCAAATTTTGATAAAATGAACTTAGAGCTTTTGTATATATCTATATATATGTATAGTGCATTTCACGATATTATCAAAGAACGACGATATCTTTAGCACGCACGATCAATAATCTTTATATAATTGGGTAAACACTCATTAAATCTTTCATTTCTAATGAAAGGAAACGTTTTTGAAAAGATGGAAGAAAAGAATATAGTTGCATGTTATTCTTGTCTTGATAAGAAGGTTAAATTGATATTTGACATGATCAAATGCTTTTATTTTATTTTATTCTAATTTTATTTGATATTAATAATAAATTAAAAATTCATGACATTTCGTATCTCGATGAGATACTTCTTCAGACATTAAATTAATGACAAACTCTTTAACATATACAAGTAAAATAGCTTTTCTTTTTTTTCCTTTCTTTATTAGACATTGATAGTGATACGGAAAACAAGACGGTAATAGTAATAGCTAGTATATGTTAAAGAGTTTGTCATTAATTTAATGTCTGAAGAAGTATCTCATCAAGATACGAAATGTCACGAATCTTTAATTAATTATTAATATCAAATAGAATAAAAGAAGGGAACTTAATCACGTCAAATAGTTGCATATTATATACATCAGTGAAATTCATTTTCAGCACAACGTATATATTAATTAAATAATATATATTTATACTGATCATAAATGGCGTCGTTTTTGTTGATGACCTTCATAATCAACAATAGAAAAACGAATGAAAAAACATAACAGAATATATTTATTTAAAATTCAAGACAACGAAGATATTAAATGATGCGTGTGGATTTGGATCAAAATAAAAGTATACTAATCTGTCTTCACACGCACACCTTTCAAGTTAGATATAATATTGATCGAACTAGTTGTATACTGATAATTTATCAAATAAAATATTTTTTCACACATATATAAAGGTAAAGTTGTCAATAATCTGGTATCTTGTTTAGATCAGAAAAGAAATTCCATCTAACATGTTCATCATAACTTATTACAAGTCTTTTTATTCTATTTATCTATATCAATAAACTTTTTTCAGAAAAAAAATTGTGTTTTAGAATAAACTACTGGCAGTTGTTTTTGGACACCATCTTGATATTTTCAAATAAGATAAAACAATTTTTAATGCTTCATTTGTTCCAATACGTTCTAAAGCTAATAATGCATTACCACTAACATAACGATTTTGATCTTGATAAAGAGAATCTTTTAAAATAGGTATTGCTTCATTTGCGTTAGGACCAATTTTAGCCAAGGATAATGCAGCAGTCAGTCTCGTATGAGATGCATCTTTTGAATCTATTTCTTGATCTCGATCAATAAGAATATTTGTTAAACATTGTACAACTACATTGACATCCTGTGAATTATTCAATGGAATAGTTCCTAGTGCTTCACAACAATATCGTTTAACTAACCATGAATCAGTATTCTCTATGACATGTATCAATAATGGTAAAGTATCAATTGCCATTGATCCCATTTCAGAAAATATAAATGCAATACAAGATGCTGGACATTCATTTCTTTTTTGATTTTTTAGTAATATTTTTAATTCATCAATTGCATTTTTATTATATCGACAAGCTGTTAATGCATATGCTGCTTCAAGACGAAAAATTTCTTTGTTATTAGATAATCGTTTGATTAAACTATTGTATTGATTACATAGAGCTAAATTATATGCTGCATTAAGACGAATTTTTCCATTTTTATCGTTTAATTGTGATGTCCAATTATCGATATCTTGTTCAGTAAATAGTTGTTCTTGATATGTAATTATACTACCACCCATCATCCAATTCCAAATATGTTTAACAATTGGTTGTGATAAACCAGCATCTGTTGCATCATACATAGCATTTGATGGATCATGATTCCATGTTGGTTTAGTCGGTTCTTCAAGTCTATTGAATTGAAATTTAAACATAAAACGATATGAATCTTTTGTTCGATTTGCTGTTCCTTTATGAACAATATCATAGTGAATTAATACAACAGTACCAGCTTGACAAATCATATAAAGATCATTTTGATCATCATTTTTTGCATTACTATTTTCTAATGTTTTCTCATTTCGATGTACTTTCGGATCTAGGACATCATATTGTGATTTTGGTTTAATAGCAGTTGGACCCATTTCAAGAGTTGTATCTTGAGGATAATACATTGCCATAATATAACGTAATTGATGATGACGAAGTTCCTTTCGATAACCGAAATAACTATCTTTATGCCAAAGTTGATCTTGAGTTCCTGGTTTTGTTAAATGAGCATGTCTATGTGGTTGCATAGTATAATTTGTACCTAATAAACTTTCTAATGCACCACTTACAACTGGATCATCGAAGACATTTTGAAGTTCAGGAATCCGTGGAAGAATATTGTTTCCTGGATTACCTTCTTTTTCAAAAATCGATGAAACTTGATTAAATATTGTTGAATGAAATTTTTCATCGAGAGAAGTAGGATGTAAAACTAAATAACCATTAATTAAAAATTCCTTTACTTGATTATCTGTCAATAGTAACGGCGTATTCATGGTTCGATGTATTCAATACTGAAAATGTATGTTGTTTTTTTTTTGTTCGTATATAAAGAAGCAGTGAATAACACTTTGTGATGAAATACATGAGTCATTTGTGTATGCACATGACAAAAGAGCAACGGAATAAATTGTGATGTTATTGCGTAATATAAAAAAAAATATTCTGTTGCTAGCGACATCTCATGCAATTGAGTAATTCTACACAAATTCTTTCTATTTTGATAAATATATGAGGAGAATTTATTTGATAATATGTAAATACAGATGGAGGACAAAAGAATATATTTTATCATAGTTTTCTTTAAACTATCATCAACAGGAGTGTAGATGAAGGTGATCAAAATATCCGCACTTACATTATCAAGATCTAAACAACGAAATAAATACCATGAATTTGTTATTTTTTTGAACCAAAATTTACCAAAAATAATAATTCGAATGGAATTTTTTTTATTGTTCAGTTTCCTAGACAATGTTTTCGCTGTGCTCTATCAAAAGCACCTGTTCCAGCAAAGCCAACTATGTAAAACAAAAGATCAGCATAGAGTTCACAAAAAAGTGAACGAAATCGAGTTTTGACTGGTTTATTACAAGCTTGTTGAACACATAATCGATAATCATTATCACATATGATCTGAGTTTGGTTACATCTATCGTAACAAATATCATGTTCATTACAGCAAGGTATAGTAAAATCCATGTTGAGTTTTCTTAAAATTGAATCGAATTTAAAACCACGTTCATGACCACATCCATTCGCTTGACGACACTGACGAATACCGTTTACTCGCCAAAGAATGGCGAATAAGATTATTAAAGGACGTAAGATCATGTACGAGGATTTATTATCTGTGCTTTGTACACTTAAAAATACAATTCAGTAGGATCAAATGTGCTGGAATTCACTTTCAGTACCTTCTTGTATAAGTGCAATTGTTAAATGGCATATCAAAATGTCAAACATGAAAATATAAAAAAAAAAGAGTTTTTGTAAAAGTCAAACACAAAAAGCAATAACTTTTAATATGTCATGTCGTGTTTATTCTGCCATAGATAGATATTTAATTAATTTATTGAGTTCTTCTTCATACATGTATATATCATTCTTGATTTTAATGGTTTCAAGAAAACGATAAATATTTGGATATATTTTGTTGTAGTATGGAACATAATACTTGTCCGTTTTTCTATCACCTTCTATCGAGAAGAAAAAGCTTCTGTAACTTAATGTTATTCATTCTGCGTAGTATATGAGTAGTGAAAGAGTCATATGTTGTTTTTTTCGTTCGTTACTCACCTACGACTGAGTCATCGTTTTATACGTTGTGTTAATAAAAGCTTTCTTTTCTTCTTATCTTTCGTATGAATTCAAAAAATGATATAAAAACAACGCATTAGTTTATTATTTTATTTTTTAAAAGTTTGTAAGCCAAGAAGATCATAAACAAAGATGAATACAATTAAATGTGTTATTGTTGGCGATGGAACTGTTGGAAAAACTGCGCTTTTAATTACATATACGAGTAATAAATTTCCTACAGACTATATACCAACTGTATTCGAAAACTATACAACAGCAATAATGATGAATGGTTCACCCTATGCTCTTAACCTCTTTGATACAGCTGGTCAACAAGCATATGATCGTCTCAGACCACTAGCTTATCCAGGAACAGATATCTTTATTATTTGCTTCTCAGTTATTTCACAAGATTCTCTAAGGAATGTTCGTGAAGAGTGGGTCAAAGAAGTTTCTCATTATTGTCCCGGTACACCTTTTATTCTAGTTGGCACAAAAATTGACTTACGTAACGATACAAAAACAATAGAAGACCTTCAGAAGAAACAACAAAAGCCAGTTACCTTTGCTGAGGGTGAAACATTCGCTAAGGAAGTGAAAGCCGCAAAATATTTAGAATGCAGCGCACGTACACAAGAAGGACTGAAAAATGTTTTCGACGAAATTATAGTTGTTTCACAGGGTAAAGTCAAACTTCCGAAAAAGTCACGCAAATGTGAAATACTCTAGTTCTATCAACGTCAAATGCTGAAGAATTTATTCCATATAAGCATTTTTTATATTTTTGTCTGCAAAATTTTAATAAATTAAGTTCTTTAACACATCGTCATTACTGTGCATCAGTTATTCGTGATTCATTGTATTTTTTGCCTTATCCGTTATCTACATCCATGCTCTCAAACGTGCAGAATATATTTCTATGAATATTTAAATAGGACGTCAAACGGAAACACATAAAAACTTGTTTTCACTTTTAATTATGTTGACTAGAATAGTTTGGCTCAATATGAGTGCTATTTAAAAAGATTTTAGTGCGCATGCTTAATTGTGAATGAAACGAAGTGGAATGTTAAAATATGTCAGGAGTGGTTTGTCGATAAAATCTTCATCTTTTTTTTCTGTTCATTTGTTTATTCATTCAACACTTTCTCTTCCTCCAAAATGTCGATTGGAAACAACAACTCCTATATGATCACACCATCTGCATCATCGTCTTCTTTAAACATCCTCTCTCGTCCGACTAAATTTTGGCTCTATCTTGTCTTTATCATTCCATCGATCATTTGTACTTTATTTGTTCTCTATTTCCTTCTCTTTGATCGAACTTTACGACGTTCTCTCAATAATCATATCGTTATTATTATTCTTTTCGTTGGCCTGATTGTAGAAATCACAGATATGCCATGGATGCTTGATTTCTTTCACTACAGTATAGTTCGACAAAAATCACCGATCTTTTGTCTCATCTGGACGTTTATCGATTTTACATGTTTTGTTATGCAAAATATGCTTGTTGGTTGGGCTTCAATTGAAAGACATATTCTCATTTTTCATGATAGTTGGATTGCAACAAGGAAAAAACGTATTCTATTTCATTATCTTCCTCCCGTCATAATTATTCTCTATTTTCATCTCTATTATGGAATTTTCATTTTTTTTTCAAGTTGTCAGAATGTTTTCGACTACACAGTATTGGACTGTTTCACTCCCTGTTATTTGAAAAATAGGATCGCTTCATTATGGGGTACAATAGTTCATAATATTTTAACAACTTTCACTATTGCTTTCTTCAGTATTACTCTTTTATTGCGTGTTCTTTGGCAAAAATATCGCATTCATCAACCGATTCAGTGGAAAAGACATCGAAAGATGACAGTTCAGTTGTTATCCATTTCTTTTCTTTATCTTTTCTTCGGTTTTCCTTACATGCTTTCAAAACTCCTTGTTCTATGTGGTGTACCATCTTCTGTCTTGACCACCTATACATCCTACACGACTTTCTTTCTTTATTATATCATTTTACTCTTCCCTTTCGTTTGTGTCGCATCATTGCCAGAACTTAAAACAAAAATTAAGAAACTGTTTTTCTGCCAGCGACAACGCCGAATTGTTGGTCCTCGAAAATTGAAAATGGCACGTGTAACACCTATTCAAATACCTGTAGTGTAATATTTAGTATTCTTTCACTTCTATTATATTGAAAATCACATATAAAAATAAATTCTGCAGCGTTCTCAAACACTCAAAAATTGTAAAAGATATTCTTTTTTTATCTTCTTGATGATGTGCATGAGAGTGTCACATTCATATATTAGTATTATCGTGATGACGGCCAGATCTCACACCCTCCTTGTTAACTGACCTATTTCGAAGACATGAAGCAGTCTTATTTATTATTGCTAATTATTATGGTCATTAAATACGTATTTGTTAGAGATGAACATGTTTTTATCATAGCTTACATTGTTTTATGGATGAATATTTATTTAAATAAGAAAAAATAAGATTTTGATGACGTATATAATATTCTATTTATAAAAAAAATAAGTACAAGATCTCCTGAAAAATTGTTTTTAACATAAAAGAAAGTTTTTGTAAGAACGCTTCATTATCTTTTGAGATGCTCTATCAACTCTAATGAATAAGAACGCGAGTATTTCATCTTTCATCAAAAACAAGAAACTCATCATTTATTTTTATTAAAGAAAAAAAAAATTCAATTGTGTCAATTATTAATTTTACAAACATTTTCTTCTTCAAAACAGATTCATCACGATCTCTCTCAATATTTAAGAAAGTAAAAAAGAATATTAACCCAGTAAACTTCATATTTTTCAATTGTTGTTCTCTATTAAAATTTATCTTATATAATGAGTGCAATATCATTAAATCAAACAATTACAACAACAGTTTCAACATCTATTCCTCTACCAATTGATATAAATTCAAGTTTTTGGTTAACATTTTCATTTGAAATTCCATCAGTTTTATGTTCATTATTTATTCTTATAAATTTATTTTCAATACGTAATCTTCGTCAATCAATTCATCATCATGCAATGATTATTTTATTAATCTTAGGTCTTATATATGTATTAATTGGTGTTTCAGCTACTGTTAGTTTTAATCGACATAATCGAAAAATATGGCCAGCAAGTCCAATCTATTGTTTAATATGGCGTTTTGTTGATACTGGAGTATATGGATCTATAAATGTTTTCTTAGCATGGGCATCATTTGAACGTCATATATTAATATTTCGTCCTGCATTAGTAAATACATCTAGAAAAAGATTATTTATTCATTAC